GACAGATTTCTGGGTTTTCTAAATAATGCATGGGATTTTCTTTTAACATGTCAGTGCAAAAGTATCAATTCTGCCCCTGTGTCGTTTGTGATGCTGATTTTCCTTGACAGCATTCCATTAAACCAATGAGTTTTTTCCCTCCTGATGGTTCCTTAAATATTCCTCTGAGTGATGTATTTGTGGTTTTTTAAACAGATTGTGAAGGATGTTTGCATTTATGAGAAAACTGCATGGCAGGTACTGAAAGGAAAAAAGGATAAAAAGATAGCACTGTGGTTTTTTTTCTCCTACAAAGAGTTTTTCCTCTGATCCTCATATGCCAAAAGCCAGGGTGTTTTTCCTTTCTTTTCTGCCTAACTTAGCTCCTTGTTTGAAAATTAAGCAACAAGACTCTACATACAGAATAACATTTTGACTTCCTAAGGAAATACCACTGAAACACTTAGTACCGTTTGATATCTCTCTTGGGAAAGCAAAACACATTTATTAAATCATGCATGTTAACTCCAAAAGCCAACAGAAGGAAATAACTGCTTTATTCTCTGCACTGAGGTTCTGTACAAACAGGTACTGTCACAGATTACCATGCACTGATCTTTCTTTGTTTATGCAGCTGTGTAACAGCATTCTTATAGGTAATCCCACCAATACTTTACTTTGCAGTCTATCTTCCACACTCCTTCTCTACCACATACTCTCATAATTTACCTGGAACCGTGTTACAAAAAAAAAAAAAAAATACAAAGCTATGACTTCAAATAAATTTCAAATTTCCCAGATAATCATATGCTCATTTCCAGAAGTCGCTTCACCTAATCTTAGTATTCACAATGACAGAACAGATGATCTTTAAAAACACTTCTGTGCTATTGGAGAGGTTTGTTCACCTTATTTCCACAGAGCAAGAAACCTGGCAACGTGGCCGGGCTCAAATCAATCTGCAGATACATCCACCAGACCTGGCTCCAGCTGCCAGACTCAGAATCTTGCTCCTACTGAGAGGAATATGGAAGGCCCAACAACTGGCACACATATCAGTGACTTGCTGTGGCTGCGGCAATCCTTGGCACTCAAGGCAATTCCCAGGCATGCACGGAGTGCCACCAGCACCATGGCTCATCTCTTGGGACTTCAGTGAACTACAGGGTTCTCTCAATTCAACCTTCTTTCACAGATCCTATGAGAAGATGAAGATGGACACAAAGCCCCAAAGAATGAACTGTACAGACCAGTGGGACAGCAGAGAACATACAGTGCTGGATTGCATGAGATTCTTCTACTGCCTGAAGAGCTTGTTTCAACACTTCATATGATGAGTAGGAAGGTGCAAAAAATCTCTCTTCTATAGAGAGAAGGAGGATATTAATGTTCAAATGTCTAACAACATTCTTCACAACCCTGTGAACTAATGGATTAGTTCAAATAAAACCAAATGTACAATTTATTATTCTCAAGGTACATTTTTTCCACAGCTTCAGCTTCGTCTCTTGCAGCAAGTTGTTGAGTTTTTTTTTTATCAGTTATTTGCAGTTCCAGCCTCCACCATGACTAATATGCAATAGCAGGAAGGAGGTAGGACCTGATGGCGAAAACTGGAAGCAAGAAAGCAGCACATTATTTGCTGCACATTTGCATAGGCACTCTTCTAAAATTCAGTTCCATGCCTGTAACCTACTCGAGGACACTCGAGCAACATATGAAGGATTACAGACAGATATCCTGAGTTAGAGTTCAGATTGTAAACTGATGGCATGAATTCTGACTTTATATATGGAAAATCTTCAAAGTTTGTATCATCATATGCACATAATGCACAGACAGTGAAACTGCCTAAGTGAAATTCTGGGCATTATTAAAGAAACTCATCCCAAATGATTTCATTCTGGCTTTAACTTGGGATACAAATGGGTACTGAAATGGATATGACAGAAGTTCTCATCACTTTTTTATTACACTAATGACCTGCATATAATGGCTCACTTCTGAAAAAGTCAGTCAGTAAAGTTTCAAGGCATATGACATTTTTTGTCCAAAACACTAACAAAACACACCACTCCACTCATCAGGCTATGGAAATAAGAGGCAGACACACATTCTAAACTGAAATATTTAGTGGTTTTAAATCTTATACTCTCCAAAGGAAGTCAACATGCAACTCCAAGGCAATAAAACACAAAAATCTTTATAGCTGTTTTTCTAAAGTAAACTTGCAACTCTTCAAGTCTGTGTTACAGTAAAAAGAAAAAAAAATCAAAGCAAACAAAAGGTCCTCTGCTCTGTACAACTATATTTCTGATTTGACAGCTACAATTATAATCATTCAGACATCTATTTCCCACAAACTCTCAACAGCCATAACCTTTAGTGATTAATTATAAAGTTCCAGGAGCAAGAGTACACAGACTAATTTCCTAAAACAATAAAAGACAGAATTTCTCATTTGGAGCTAAATGAAACACGAACAGGTTGTTATTCATGCTGAAATCTAGATGCAGAGTCATGTTGCAGCCATTACAAAAGCTATTAAACACAACCTCAAATCAAAGAAACTGTAGGTCTCTCTCCTAAAATAAAATGTTTTACTCACTTATGAGGCTTCTGACTCCTTTGCTCCATTTCTTTTTCCCACTTCTTAGTAAAAAAAAAAAATTCAAAATTCAATTTTGTTTCTCATTCTGCATCCCCATTGCTTTTAACAGTCATTTAAACTCTAACAGTCTAGAGCAAAACCAATGTTAGGGAAAGCTTTCATGCACACAGAATTGCAGCGGTGTTCTCTTCACATGAATCAATGTTTGAAAGTGTGCATCAACCTGCAAACAAAATGGTGACTCTTTTGAGGCTCTATCACTTTCCAAAGACTTTTCTACAGTGAATATTTCATAACCCCTCAGCTGAGACAGTTTTAATTAAAGTGCACATTAATTACATTGGAATTTTTTTTTTTTACACAGTCTGCCGAATTTGTTTAATGTAAACCTTTTTTTTTTGTTAATTAAAAAAAAGACCCTCCAAAGAAAGGGAGAAACACTGCATTACAAACAATCTGACTTCCAGCTAGCATTGTAGATACTAAAAAAAAGGAAAATTATGATTATTAGTAGTTCTTTCAGTCAAGGAATTATTTCTCCTCCTGCAAGTGATGTTGGCACTCAATCCATAAAAAACGTTCTTGGTAATTTTACTGCACGTGGCAATGAACAAGGTAAAGAATTGGAAAAAGATCTCTGTGTAACTGATACCACTTCTTTATCCTTGGGCCCCACTGCACCTTCAGTTAAAGTCAGTGGGACTTTTTCCAAATACTTGAATTAGTATTGAGTCAGTTCTGTAACTCATTGAATTGCTAAACTGCAGAGAACTTCAGTTTAATATGCATCCTCTTGATGTATTTTAGAAAAGCTGGTATGATATTCCCCATAAAATTTGTCAATGAGGTACCTAAAATAATATTGTTACTGTACTGCAGATTCTCCACAAAGGAACACAAATTTTGCCATAACATAACACACACCAAACCATGAATGTTCAAGTTAGCACGCTTTGCTACAGCAGCTTTTAAAAACCATAATACTAGTCCCACATCTTTTCTGCTTGAAGCTTCTCTGCTTTTCTGTAAGAATTCTATCTTCTAGTCACATTAGCATTCAGTGAAATTGAGTAATTCACTTTGAACTACATACAAAGAACAACACATACTAAATATGCTTTTTCAGTTTGTTTTTTTTTTTAATTCAATATGCACTAATTGATTAGGGTCTGAGGGGTGAATAAGAAATATGTATTCTACATAATAGAAAGCTGGGGAAGGGCTCAATGCATGAACTGGAAGCCAGATTTCTTCAATACAGATGAGTACACAAAATTAGCAAAAGGCAATATCACGTTTGGAAAGACTGCTTTGTGCATAATTTGTCATGAATTCAAAGTTATTCCTTTAGAAAATGAGTCTAAGACCTCCCAGCTGCTGCTTTATTGGTCTAATAAATTACCATTTTGATGGCACAATGCATATACACTATACACCATCCAAGCAAGTAAACTGCTAGAGTGGCTTCGCCTTTAGAGACACATGTGATGTCAGACATAAGTGAATGCCAGTGGATATCTGAAAGCAATGAGGGACCAGAAAATGCCTCTGTTGTTGAACTGATAATGAAAATAGAGGATGTGCAAGCTTCCAAAACGTAAAGAGCGTATTTTAGGATTGTTTGTGTTAAAAATACTGACTCAAATGAATCTGCCCTTATTATAATAGATATAAAGCAGCTTCCTGATACAAAATGGGTCTACCTTATTCTAAGTACTCTACACTGTTTGAGTAAGATCTATTCACCTGAAAAAGAAATAAAAATAAATAAAGAAGATATTCTCTTCAGAGGATTAATTTCTGTCTTTGAACCTTACTCTCGTGGAACTGGGATTCAGAGAACATAGTTCAAGTCTATACTAATGGTTAATAATAGCACAGATGAATTTGTGTTTAGCATCAGTGCCTTATTCTCAATGTTATTCCAACCAGGTAGGCCATAACAGAGGTTTATTATGACTCCTTCATAACAGTGCTTTGCAAACATCCATACAGGGGAAGAACAAAACGAAAAAAGCCCAACAGCTGGTAATTTAGCATTCACTACTTCACCTTTCTCCAGCGAACTGTGGTGACTCACAATGAGCTCCAACAACTTGATGTTTTGGACACCTTCCATAATTTATAGAAATGCTCTATATTAGTGCCAAAGAGAAATACTCTGTTACTACAGACACATTTAGAGAAGAGTTTTAAATGCATGTACTCTTACAGAGCAATCCTTCAATACTTTTGCTGAAGGTGGCTGTTAGGAGGAAAACAGGAGGAATACGTGCAATGATTTTTATTTAATACTGGCAGTGGAAAGCTTACAAAATAAAAGAATACAAGAATTTGAGATAGATTTTGATTTTGTTTTCAACGGGTAAAAAGGTTTTCCCTCAGAGCTCGTGTGCACAGCATTACTTACCTGCGTTAGAATTAAGTTCTTCATTTTCTGATTCTGTTCCATTTTGACTTCCACTTCCATGGAGGCTATTCATTGCCATAAGTTTCATCTTCTGTAACTTCATAGCCTCTGCCATGGCTGCTGCTGTCAAACCTGGAAAGAATAGAAATAAATAAAATGCAGCATCACATGGTACAACACAGGACTGAAAAATACGAAGATCATGGTAATTCCTTTCAGTGAGAATAAGCAAGTCATGTAAGTTCAGTACAGATTCTTATCCCAGTTATGTAGCGTCATTCTGAACATTACCTTCAGGTCCTTTCTGTTATTCTAGTACTGCATTCTAAAAATGTATTTTCTAGTGTTTGTGTTTTTTGTCCCTTTTGCACATGTATAATGTAAAAAACTATTTATCTCACGTTACTCCTTTTCATTATACTTCTAAATATCATTTCCTGTCACTTTGATCACTTTGGCACTTTGATCTCTTTCTGTTTGACTTGGCTGCTACAAAATTTCCAAGTACACGTGTAAAATGTGGTGTTTCTTAATTTCAACAGCCGGAAGCCAATTAAAGTGGAAAAAATAAATGCTGTGCTATTATGATATATATAAAAACACTGCTTTTCTGAAGTCTTTTGATTTGAATATTATTACCACTGGAAAATACTACATTGGAAATGCAAGAAACGTACAATATAATTATAAACTCAACCTCACTTCAATGAGATATTAAAACCATTACACATTTACAGAATAAATCGGAGATTCTCAAGTGACTTAAACTGAATCAATTTAAAATAGTAATAGAGAAGGAGTAGGGTCAGGTTACCAGCTACCATCATCATTACATGTTTTTCTTAAAAGGGAAAAGGAAAGGAAAAGGAGAAGATTTCCCTATGTTTTTCATTCGTGACTGTAAGCTTTTCAAGTTTTATAATTTTGGATTTTTCAGTATGAGATAAAATGTTCTTCTGGACAGTATCAAATTAATTTTACTCTGGCTAAGATGTAATTGAAAATCTCACATGGGAAATAGAGGGGGATAAGGACCCGTAACCAAAGAAGATCCTTACAGGTATCATGATTGATTCATTCAGTTATGGATAAAACTAGCTATAGTGCCTTCCTCTCAGCAAATTATGAATTGCTTTTGTTATCTCCTACAAAGCACACTGAATGCTTCACATCAGCTATCTTGTAATTTAGTTCCACAAAAACACTCGCATTCACCAAAAACAACTTTTTTTTGGTTGGTAGCACATGATAATTCAGAACAGAATTAAATAATCTGCTCTGTATAAAAAGTACTGCTTACTGAGACATTAGACACTGATTAAAGTGAACTAATAATTTTCATATCCCATACTGCCACACATCCATAAATGAAAATATTTTCTTTTAAAAGCTACTATGAATTTGACATTTAGATTAGCTGTGCTGCTCGTCTAACAGGCTTCACAAAGGTTCTCATTATTTTAATATGAGTTAAGTAAGCAAGCAATCAAGAGACTCCAAACGCAAGGGGGAGGTGTATGTATTACCATCACACACAGCTACAAACAGCAACCCTGTTAACTTCAGGAAGATATCCCTGATTAAAAGCAGTAAGTTGGAGATGATAGGTTATGAGAAAGAAATAATAAAAGTCAACCAGTTCTGTTCTGCTACTCCCATCCCACCTAAAAGCCCTTCAGCATTCACCAAAATTATCTACATTTGCACAGTCCTATAATCCAAAAGCATTGATGCCAAGTCTGATGTGTATCACCTACACTAACTCAGCATTTGTTCTGTCACTGCTACATGAAAAACCGTATTGATCTTATTTTTAATATACACTAACTACAAATACACTAAAGCAGAGTCCAGAAAACAACATCAACTATTTTGTTTCTCAGGTCATTTCAGCCTTTACTTCTTAACAGTACTCATTTTTTATTTTAAAATAGAATTTTTCAAACACCCTTTGAAGTTCTTTTGCAAATGGTACAGGGTTTTTATCAGGTTAAAATCAAACCCTGATGTTTAAACTTCTGCTTTTAAAATTCTCTGGCAGACATCACTCACATTTAATCCATCAAAGAAATAATACATCTTAAATGATGAAACTGTTCATGCACTTTCAGAAGATGAAAGTCTATAAACTTCTCCACCTTGTCCTAGTGAAAGGAAACGGGATGGTTCTTCCTATTGTCTTTAGGAAGTTTGAGTTCATGATCACAAATCTTCTGAGGAATTTACTGCTTCCAGGGTTTCCAGGAACCTGCACGATTTGTGCTCCTACTTGCACTTTTGCTCCACATCCCAACCAAAGTGTTCAGGTACAGCCATCCCCAAATCATGATCAGAACAGTACCCACTCACAGCCTGTTCTCTTTTTGTTCAATAACCCTTTTACAAATAATCGGCATTTCCTTTAAAGGTTACCAAAATGAAGTCCAAACACACTTCCTTTTAATGCAGTGTTTTATCACTTGTATGTACCCAAGCACATATGGATGAACACACAGTCCAGTGAAGTATTTTCACACGGGTCAGTATTTATGCAGGTCCTTGAAACACCAGGTTACAAAGCTGTGCTTAATTTAAATATACAAATGAATAAATAAACTATTCAGAAGCACATAAACAGCAACAGAAAGTGAATTTTGGTCTTCAACAAAATTTTCAGTGAAAAAGTAAGGTGAGAAGTTAGCCAGGGTCTGTATAAAAAATACTTCTGAGCAGTTGCATCAGAAGCATAATGAAGACAGAAAACGGGATTGAGGAACAAACAGAAAGGCATAAAAGGTCTCCAAATCACCACAATGCCACCTGCAGAAATTAAAAGCAATTATTGACAGGCACTTCTGAGCTCCCTAACCAGACACAGCTGCCGTGAGGACAAAAGCCAAAAAAACAATGATGTACCAGAAATCCATGCTGTGCCATCTGCCACACCAAAGTCGCTCTACTTCAGCATTAAAAGTTTATAGAGTACAGCACAGTTCTAATGTATATAGCATGACACTCTGAGGATGCTGAGTGGTCCGGATCAGTTACGGCAGATATGCCAGTACTCTTTCTAAGCTCAGCAACAGCAGCCTTTACACTGCTCTTCAGCCTCTACTAATCCCCACTCTAACTGTGCTGCAGTAAAAGCTCCAGAACTGTACTGTATGAGATATTTCAAAAACACTGCATAATCATTCAATAACTCTGAAAGCTAATACAACTGAGGCTGAAGTAGATGGTTTCATTAGTAATGGCACGGTACTGACTGAAAGGATGGAAGCAAACATGCAGCAAATCAAACACTGGCATAATCTCCAATTAAGACTACTGCCAAGGCTACTATTACTGAAACTTCTATTTAACTATTAAGAAAACTTTCTGCAACTGTCTTAGCTCCAGCTCACTGTGGCAAGGAGGGCTATTTTTCAACTGGCTTATCTGAAGATCTACAAAGAGCTGAAGAATCATTTCCATCCTCTTGGATGAATAATTAGCAGCAGCAGAAATACACTTCAGAGTGCCTCACATTGAAAAATGGACTTGCAAACTGCTGCAATGTGGACATCCCTCTACTTTCAACAAATAAAAAGGATCACAGAGAAAGCCTAAGGAGCTGGATCACAAACTTCAGTTTCCAGTTTTTTCTCCCCTTTTACACTTTACATTTCTCTTCCTTTAGACATCTTTGCCCAGTTGTGCTCAATCACAAAGCATCCAGGAAATAAACTGTGCCACTTACTGCCAAATATGTGCAACTTCTCCAACACTAACAACAAAGAAAATCCCGAGTCTCAGGTCAGCTGCAGCACTTTGCTTCCCAAACCCTGCCCTGGCGAGGGACAGCAGCTCCTGTGGGCCCCCCGGCACAACCACCAAGGGCGCACCTCGGAGCTGTGCTCAGGGCAGCTCTCTAGATATGAATCTTGATTACAAGTGCATAACAGATTGTGATGGTGTGTGCTCAGGCACACCTGCATTGTGCATATGGCAAAACAGCCAACTGCCATTAGTAATTTTCAGTCTGAAATTTCAGTTTTGTCAGGACACTGTGTACTCTCCTTTTGACAAGTCTGCATAACTCTGCAGCACAACACACAGCTTTAGCCCTGAAATAACCTTTCAAGGACATGCAAGCCAACATAGTTTATACTCAGGTTGCAATGAAGTCAGATTCTGCAGCTGTATTCTGAGCCGCAATTAAAGAATGCTTTTGCATCACAATTCTCAACTCTAACTAGGAGTACACAGCACCACAGGCCGCAGCACTGCAGAGACCTGCTATTAACGGGGTGCTGTCACTGTAACTGACCTAGGTGCACTACAGGGCCAGACTCACAGGGCATGTGCTCTGCTCCTCCAGCCCAGGCTCCTGGAGCACTGGAGAGTCATATACACAAAGCTGTCTGCATCTCCAGGCTGCAAACCACTAAAACCAGTGGTTAATTGTTTACTCGAGTGCCCTCTACACAGATACTACTGAAGCTCACTCCTCCATGAAGTCTCAGGAATGATTTCAACAAAAACGCAGTTATACTGCATGGCTTGAAGATCACAACTGCAAGGCCCCTTGCGGAGCCCCCCAGCCCCATCATGGGCAGCGCTGACCTCACCCCGCTCCCAGCATCAGGTGATGAAGGGCACTGCCTGGGGCCCTGAGCACAGCACAACTCACTGAGCAGCAGATGCCTTCCTGGAGAACCAAGAAACTGAAACTCGGTCACTCTCCTGCATTGATGGACCTCAGAATCTTTCTTTTAAGTGAGTCCTTCATGTTTAACTGATGTCCAGCTACTGGAAATTGGATCTTGATGGTAAACCCAATGATTCTAAGCATTTTGATACAACTCCGGGTATCTGCTAATCTTATGCTCAAGCCATAAGGTTTTAGGTCTATTTTTCAGCTCCCTAATTAGTTAGACTGTGCTCCTCCTTCATATTAGTTTGAAAGCCTTTCTGTCAAAACTGTGAACAAGTAAATTAACTAAAGGAGAACTATGAGTAATCAAATCTTGAGGTTTGCAATTAATTAAATGTAACGGTGAGTCAGTGAACTGAAGAATGGTCTTATATTAAAACAAAACATTTAATTAAATTAACAGCCAACACATTGCAATTAATAATATTCAAAAGAAAAATGAAACTCAGTTCAGCCT